ATGACCCTCACTTATTCTCCAGGCCAGTTTGCTGAAAATGCCAAGTTGTCTCTGAGTTCACAAATATATATATATATGCATTTTTATATATATGTGCCAGCTGTACTCTGTCTTCTTGTGTCTTCAGCTGAAGGTTTGAGCTGATTGAGGTCAGTGTGCTCAGTGACCACGGTTCTTCCTCAAGGTGTCAAAGCTAAGTTCCTCCATTTGGATAAGTTCTGAGAATAACTTTTTTGTTCTCAGTTCTTAGAACAGTATCGGAAGATGTGGCATCTGACTGGATTATGTAGAGCTAACACAGATGGCTTATAATTGAGAAAGCAACTAATTAGGGTGTGTTGCTCAAGGAGCCACTATCCTTAGTATTGAATAGTCAGTCATAAATGCTGAGAAAAAGTGATGTCTAATACACTGTTCTTCCGATGACTTTGGTATTTGTTTCAAGACAGAATCATAGAATGGTTTGAGGTGGAAGGGATCTTTAAAGGTCATCTATTCCAACCCCCCTGCAGTGAGCAGAGACATCTTCAATTAGGTCAGGTTGCTCAGAGCCCCGTCCAACCTGAGCTTGAATGTTTCCAGGCATGGGGCATCTACTGGGCAACCTGTTCCAGTGTTTTGCCATCCTCATTGTAAAAAATACCTTCCTTTTATCTAGGAAGTTAACTTCAGCTTAGCATTTTAATACTGGATTGTGCAGCTTTGTCATATCATGTTTGACATTTTCAATGCATTCAATTTCAGCACAACTAACAATGTTTTTTTTTTCTTAAATATTTTGTTTGGAAAAGAACACTTAGTAAGGAATGTTGTGTGATGGTGTGGGTTTTTTTAGGAATATTGCTTTGACTTTGTTTCTTCTTGTGAGCCAAATAATACAACAGTAACAAAACCTGACCTTCTCCCCTAACTCTGTACCTTTGTTTGAGGACATTCAGGCAACTTGTTCTATTTTGTCTTGTGTAAAGGTCAATGCTGCTAGCCTAATGAATGGCAATGCATGCAAATTATCATTATGTTTTCTATTAACTGTAATGGGCTAAAAGAAGCTATGATCTTCCAAGGCACATAAATTGGCCAAAGTGTTGGATATGTATGACATATCCAGACAAGATACTAAACACAAAATTCAGTCAAGCTGCCAGAGCATACATCTTAGATCAATGGGATCTTCCTGTGGAGAATTGTTTGGAGCTGGAAAGCAGAGACCACTTTCCTTTCTGTTCCCAATGCAATTTTAAACCTATCTGAGAAGGTACATGCAAGAGATCATTAAATTATTTTCTCATATGCAGAGACAAATGCATTGTGTGATGATAGGCACCAGTACAAACTGGGGAGAGATTAAGCTCCTCTACTGACCTATTAAGAGCTGATTTAAACCATGGACTTGGCTTAAGAAGGATAGGGGTGAGTTCATTTATTTTAAGTGAATTATGGAAGGACTGCCAATGTCTTAGTAGCTGAGACAATTGCTACTTGGTCAGCAAATCTTTTTATCGTAACTTTTTTATTAGTCAGTGTATTAACACTGAAGCATCACTTCCAACAGCTATGTGATATATGTACTTTTTAAAATGGAGCCAGTCTACTTTTAATAAACTAGATTATTTTCAATTTTTTAAGGCCCAAAGTGATATTTATACCAGTATCTGGCACAATAATAATTCCTATCATCAAAGACAGATCTCCAGGAAGAAATTGCTGTCACCTTATCACTGTCCTCCTCCCAGTGACATTGCAGATACTTTTAGACCTAATCCCAAGCTATTTAAATCTATCCCAACAGATTTCAATGGAGGTTAAAGTCTAAGTTGTTATGTTCAAATCTGCATGCTGTGATTTTCATGCACTTGTTATTTTCTGAAACAGGACATTTGTTGGTTTTCCAGTGCATTGTAGCCAAATCCATACTCTAACAAGTATTTTAAGCAACTGCGAGAAGCATAGGGCTGTGTTGGATCAGTTTACACATTTGTTGCTAGCAGGCGTGGAGAGAGAGCATATAGAAGGGTTGTATAACTCGGGAAGGATTTTTGAACAAAATAATTAAAACACAAATATGGACACGGTAGCTCTTATGCATGGGTTTCTGATGCAGTTATCTGTCTTTCTACCTTACAGAAACTTTTAATTTTATTGTTAAAATAAAGAAGATTCTCCCATTTGCTCTTCATGATGCTTTGATTTTTCCCCAAAGCTACAGACGCTTCTGCAAGCTCCAGCACTTGTAGCCCTACTGACACTTAGAGAAAGAGCTGTGAAAGCCCATCTGCTTCTCATTTGCACAGCAATTGGCCATCAGCAAGAGTGCAAAATTTTTATCTAGAAACTTCAGGAATATTGATTAAGGTTTCTCTGAAATTTGTCATTTATCCAGGTGTGCTGGAGCATTATGGACTTAAGCCTGTGCTGCTCACCAAGCTTCATCTTTTCACAAAAGTGCCACCTTCATTCCGGGCTGAAGGCATGGCACTGTCTTGCCTTAGCCCTGCCTTATTTGCCCAAATGCTGGAGGACCTTCTCCTGCATTCAGTGTGGCACAGAGAAGAGGCTGCAGCTCAGAAATGGTTGAACAACAGGATTAGTGGGTGCTGACTGAACAGACCGTCTCATCCTTGCAGTAAATCGGAAGAAGGGGCAGTTTGGAAACCAAAGAGCAGCTCCAGCAGGGACACGGCATAGGTCTGAGGGCTCATCAGGGTAACAGAGCAGGCATCGGTACTGGAGGAAGAGGCAGTTTTTAGCAGTGAATCAATGATTAGTCATTTATCATGACTTTTTTTAAAAAAGCACACTTCAGAATATAAAGGAGAAGCAACATTCTGGCTAATGCAAAAGATTAGTTGCTTTTTGATTATAAATATTTATATGTGGCTTTTTAAAGATACAAATTCAAATAAAGCATAAATTCTGTTATTTTGAGATTTTAGCCTACTTTAGAATAGTACTAAAAGATATCTGGAATATAGCTGGCACAGGATTATTTCCCAGAGCCATGTTGTTTATTATAACCTCCCATAGTCAGCATGCAGAACTTCTGAATATTATTTAACATTTAGCAGAATAGTGTCCATTCAGCCTCTGCTTTCTGGATTTTCTATGCTGAAATGATTCGTGTCGACCTTATTTATCAGGCTTTTGAATCACATACAATGATACAATCACATTATAATGACAGATAAAAAACATAATGTGTGCACTTGCACTACTGAGATGAATTACATCATTGTACTTTACTGCCTG